ACTTAATTGTTTAATGAAAACCACTCCCACTTCCCAACATATGTAAACCCCATGATATTTAACGAGGGGAGTTGGGTTCAATACAGTCACACTTGAATTTATTCAATTTTTCCCATTTTACTCATTCATTTGCTCGTTCGTTTCCATAATCTAAATAAAGGTTTAATTACCCAAGCTTGAGGTTATAATCCGGTTTCTCGTCCTACCGCATAGACCTCACAATATTCGACTCAACCCGACCTCTCGTATTCACCTCCGCACAAACTTCCCAACAATAATTTTTGGTGTCCGATTCATTTCAACACAACTTTCACGACAACCTGTATTTTTTCGTAGTAACTGTTAAGGTCTCATGTATTACCCAATATGTTCAACAAAAGTAAATTATTACTTTTATGTCGATTTTCCAATACAAAATTATTTACAAAACCGGTCATCGATTATTTCTCGCTAGGAGATAAGTACACACATGCATGCACACATACATATACATACACACACACACACACACACACACACACACACACACACACACACACACACACACAGTCACACACATATACATGGAGTAGAGGAAGATAGGCTACACTTTTTCGAAAATACATTAAACAGAAGTAAATATATGGAAATAACAGACATAAAAAGGGGATAATATATGGTAATGAAGAAGATGTGATATAAAAAAAATTGGTAATCGTGAACTTTCCCAATATACATCTTAAGTAGGGATCGCAAGGTACAATAAACTGCAAATTATGATATAATATAAAGTATACTGGAAAAAGTAGAACTAAACAAGAACCAGAGAAAGAAGAGAGATCGTACAGTTGTTATATCTTGGAAATACTAATAAACATATTCACCAGTTGGAACAATAAAACTACGCAAGTATCTCGCTCAAACAATAAGCACGAAAATTAAAGTAACAAACCATGGGAGACAAATCAATACTGCTATTCACCGGATATTCAATGCAAGAATGTTAAAGCGGCATAAAACCGTGATACACATAGCGAATAATTACTCTTCTACTGCAGCAAATTCGAGTAAAACTTGAAATTATTGGAAAGTCGAAAAAGTCAAAAGCTAAGAAATCAAACTTCGTGCTACAACAAGGATATTCATTTCTCATTTCATTAAACGACTTGTTTTCAAACAACCTATGTAGTAATGATTCATTCAAAAAACCATGAAATAAGAGAAGCAAAAAAAGACAATACTGTTTGTTTGTAAAAGGCAATACAAATAGGTCATGTAAATAAGTAGTAAAGAGATTAAGTGTAGAAATCGGTTGGATAAAATCGAAAAAATTCGATATTCAACTTGTTTCATTTACATTTTCCAATATCGTTACTGCTTCGTCACCAGCATCAAATGTCGACTGTACCGAAATTTTACGCACCATATCTTGCACATTTGTGGTGGGCACTAAAGAAAATATAATGAAAATTAGAAAAAGAGAAAAGGAATATAACAAAAGGCAAAAAAAGAAAAATGACGAACAGCAATAATTTTTTTGTCAATATATAGTATAGCAGATTTTAACAATACATTACTAGATAATATCAAATTATTTGTTCTTAAATAATTGAACATAATTTTACTGCATCTTCAGTCGCTGCTATCAGTTTTTAACAGTGAATGTGACTGGTGCGGTCATCGGAATGGATGATAAAATCAAAAGCCTGAGAACTAAGCACTAACCAAAACCACGTCCTTGGAGGAACAAAATAATCGCTTGCGCCACACCTTCCGGCTTATCATCCAAAACAAGTCCACCTGATCCCGAAAGCTGAACAATTCACGATTTTTAGTACTGAATAGTTAAAGAGCTTTTCAGTGTGCTGAAATGCTAAGTCAAAACCCACCACCTTATGTGCCATTCGAGCTGTACTGCACTTCATGTGAGATTTCACTTTATTTATAAAATTAGAAAGAAATTATAGTATTACTTCAATCTTTCGACGAATGGCTATTCAGTAGACAGGAGATATTATAATATCAAAAAATGCTACATAAGTCAATTGAGAAAAAAAGACCAAGCAGTTGATGACAAATATCATCAATATAATGGGAAATGCCAATGTAACCTTAAGCCACTCTGAATCTGCTGGATTTAATCGAGCATTCAATTCCACTGAATCGCCAACAAACGCAGAATCAGCTCCTACAATTTGAAGAACGGGCACCTTCAATTTCGGACCCATTGTGCCGTCGCGCGAAATATTTATTGGTGTTCGACTGGAAACATAAATTTCGTCACCAAAGATAACCAAATATACAAGTATTAACATGTATTTCTTTTAAATTATTTAAGAACACTGTATAACTTTTATACAAAACATAGAACGCTGCTACTTGATACTGCCCATTTGAACCATACTTCAGATAAGCTTCAATGAAAGCGGCCAAATTCTTCGGATTTGGAAGATGCTGCAAATACGCACGGTAACGACGAACAGTATCGGGAGGATTTAGTGTGACGTGATTTCCAAAATGATGCCACAACAAATAATCAACCGAAAAGTTTGTCATCCCACGTGTGCGTAACGAACGCATATTGACCTATGACAAATTAGAAAGGAATAGTTACGGAAATTTAATAAATTAATCAGACTAATTAAAAAAAAAACATTTTTTGCCAAATGATCTAATTGAAACTTGCTAATATTATATGAGAGACAGCTAATCACACAGAAGTATAACTGAAAGCAATTAATATAACATAAATATAGTCATGACTTTAAATATTTCGCGCCGCAAATAACAAACCTGCTGATAGAACCACTCGATCCAGCCTGCACTCGTTGCTACACAATTGACTAGTATTAATGCATCCACCTTTGACTGATTTTGGAGCTAAAATATAAAAGCTGATTTTATTAGCTACAAATGACAAAACAATAAATATTCAAGTAGCAATAAGCATTGCCAATTATTGCTATGATCGCTATGAACGATATTATCTAATTATCTTAAGATTTTATTCCCGTTCACTTCACACTCCAACAATAATGAAACAGATATAACGGTAAACAAAGATCTTACTGCTAAAAAACTTAAATACAGGGATAATGAGTAACTTAAGATCATCAAGTTTGATTGATATTTCTAAATAAGCGAAACGAATAAGTATTTGAATGTTAGGTATTACATCAATACGATAAAAGGCTAAAAAGTAGAGACATGAAAAAAAATATTGGAAATATTAAAAAAAATATAAAACTAACTGCATAGCGTAGCATAACATTAGCACCCACACCCACTCCTAAACCAATAAATTCTCGAATTCTGAAAAAAAAAACATTTAAAAGGATTGAGACAACAAAACGTTAAAATATTTATGAGAAATGATGCCGAATTCAGCGAAAGAAACTCTAAACCCATAGAGATAGTAAAATATCATCAGACATTTACTTGAACTGTTCCACGCAATTATCAACAATTTGAACAAGGCCATCCATTGTTGGATAAATATAACTGAAACAGTAAACGATTTTTTCCAAAATCTTTTATGAACTGATAATTGTCAGCTTAATATTCTATCAGTGGTTATTAGAAGATAAATGTTATAGTCTGTAAAAAGTCACTGTAGAGATCAAAAGAATTATTTTTTATTAACAAATAAATTAGATTAGAAATACATTTAGCAAAGATAAGTCCATTCAAGTAGGCTACTTTTCAAATATAGCGGTTCAAGCAGTCATCCGCAGTAAACAGGTAGCTATCTCCAAAGAAAAAAGAAGCGGAATGCAAGAGGTTGTAGGTAAAGCAGTATCATACATGTAATATGAACAAATAAAAAGCTGAACAGAAAAAAAAAAAACTGTTTCTTCTAGGAAAAAGATTTGCACTGATCACTATAACGTCTGCCCGCTTCACTAAGATGCCTAAGTAAGCAAATAGGCTAACTGATCCGGCAATGGAGCAGCATCTATTTCTTGACCCGGAGCATTGATGTTATAGATACAGAAATTTGACAGAAATTCTCCAGCTGTTGCATATTGGAAAAAATTTTGGAAATTCGTTTCCGCTGAAAATGATGTTCTGTTTACCAAACTTGCGAATGAAAAAAAATAAAAAAATAAATGAAAAAATAGTAAATTAAATGTGTTAAAAGTAATAAAGAGCAACCATATGAATTTACATAAAAGAAAATATGCTTACAATCGAGTGCCATATCGTGAAATGTAAGGATAGAACTTGAATGCCGATTTCCATAAACGGTCACTTTCACATTTCCATACGGTGTTGACACTTTTTTCTGGAAATAAATTGGCCAGAAAATTAATAAAATTTTTATTTTCAAATAATAGCAAAACATATGCACCATAATAATACTTTTCATAAACTTATATCTTAAGAGAAAAAGACAAATAAATTAAAATTTTAGCAAATTTAACTATAAGCTCGAAAAAAATATTATATGGATGATAAAAAAGATTCAATAACAAGTCGGACAAAAAACTTTATTAGTGCAGGACAGTGGTAAGCTATAACAGCCTTCGTACAATTCACACTTCTTGCCACATCATCATATACTCTGTATATGTGGGTAGATTATATATATATTTGCATGTGTCTGTATGCTTGTGTTTACGAATGAAAAGTAAGCAGCGGATGAAATTTGCAACAAAACTGAAAATTAGAAACCAAAAATTGAAAGAAGCAAAAAAAGAACAAACTTCAAAATCGGGTGGATGCTCAGGTATTAGGGGTAATTCATCCTGAAAAAATGCGCCCATTTCTGCAGCAGAGCACATTGTACTTCAAACAAACAAAATTTTTCCCCTGAAAATCACAACTTCAGCATTTCAACTGATATCTGCAACAGAAATATAGCAGAAAACCAAACCTATTCGAAAACCGTTTCTCATTTAAAAGAATAAACAAATGAACAAAAAAAATCTATGGTTTGAATACATATTAAACTAATGTAAGTCTAACGCAAATATAAAATTTTTAAAATGTCAGTTTTGCACACGCAAAAGATTATAAGTGCAAATACATATTTACATCCATTTGACCACTATGGACAGCAGATAATAATAAAAAGCAAATATAAAGCATTGAAGAAATGAAATATGCAATTAAAGCATAAGAAAATGCATCAAACAATTGCTATTTAAGTTAATTAATCGACTACACCACGCTAATAATTGCATAACAACTGCTATGAAATCAACTGCTCTTTTTAACTAATCTACCTAAATTTTTTCTACAGTTTTCTAGCAAATGAATGCAAACAGAATGAATGAATGCTGCTATGCTGACATCAACCATTTATTAATGTTTATTAAAATAAGTGAAAAAAATCTTAACAGCTCTTAAATAAAACGTTTTGTGAACTACGACAGGACTGAGAAATAGTGCACATATGAATACGAGCTAAAGATTGATAAAAATTTGCAAAGTGCTTTGGTTAGAGAGCAAGATGAAGGATGGAGAAAAGAAGGATGTGAAGCTAGGAAGTGAATGGATTTGCAAAACTGAACACCTTGCAAATATGGTAGAAAATAAGAGTAGGAGAGATATCACTGACTGAAGAGATCAGAAAAGATTGAGAATGAGAAACGTATTCTTTTATCCTCATTTTTCTATTTTTCTATGCATTAAATTGTAATCCACCACAAACATCCCATGTTTAGTGCTCTTCAATCAAACCACTTTTTCTTCACTCTTATTGTCTAATAATCTCTTGCGATTGGTTGCGTATCTTTTCTGCTCTCAAATTTCACAAACCCTCTATGGTTCTGTAGTTATTTGCAAATTTCCTCGATTTCTACCAATGATGGATTAAGATCAATTGTAAATTAGTCATCTTAAAGTAGGAATATGAGAAGGTACTATATCTTTTCATTTAAAATGCAAAACATCAACATTTACATTCAGTAATACCTATCCCTTCATAACATGGTGACATACAAATTCCCTTTGCTCTTCATCTTACCTGTCTTTTTACGGATAAAATGAATAAGAAAGCAAAGTTACTCACAAAATAAAGGAGAGAATGTTCAAAAGAGGAAAATAACGCGAAGTGACGAGTAATTTAGCCGATAAAATGCTAAGCAAAACTTGTTTTTCACATCTCTCCCACCTTTTCATTTCTCTCTCTTACAGTTTCCTACAACTCGACAATCTGACAACCGATAACCCGATAATCTCTAAGACTATTACTCCCGATCAATAAACTTAGCGAACAAGCTTGAAGAGAGAAGCCGTTAGATTAAGCCTTATTCACACTTATTTCAGCATGTCGTTGCCGAATGCCAGTTCGATGTGACAGCACAAAAATAAGTTATTTGACCTTGCATCTCGCATAAATTATAATTATGCGATTATCATTCGGGATATCGCGTTATATCTGATAAGATATGTCCAATGAGATCTCCGACTCTCAGGAATTACATTGCTGACAATTTTATCATTAATTAGCATGCATCAAACGTACTTTTATTAGGATATCTATTTCAAATTTCAAAGTAATTTAAACTGAAATAATGTGAAAGTTGGGTAGTGATGAATGTCATAGTTTTAATAACTAAAGTACAATTTAAACAAGCTATGGAAATTTTTCGTTTTTAATTTTTAGTTTTTTTTTTTGAATTAAAAGAATGTAATCGAATTACTCAACAATTTTCATCATATATTCATCACACATGATATTCTAAAAATGTACAATTACTAAGAGTTGGGATCAAATAATACTATTTGAAAATCTCGTAAAAGATAAGTTTATGATAGTATTATATATTATTTCTTACTTATCACTAACGATTTTTGCTATGGTTTTTATCTCAAAATTTTAAAATTAAATTTATACAATTTATATTCGTAAGTGAATTTTTTTGATTTTAATTGTTATAAAACATATCATAAATCAGAAAACAATTGCGAAATATGTGATGGATTACTAGAAATAAAAGTTCAAATTTAAAATTGAAATTTCAAGAGAAACAGTTAGTAAATGCGAAAATTATGTAGATAATTTAATTATACTATTAACTGAATATGCTTTCTGGAAAAAAATGAAACATTCACTAAATTTATAACAATAATGAAGAAAAAAGAAAAAAGGAATGAATGAGAGTTAGATTTCATAAGCATTAATTGTAAACAAAAAAAAATGTTGAATGAAAAATTTTCAACTCTTTTTCTTCTTTTTTCGGTAAATAAAAAACAAAAAAAAGATATTAATGATATTTTTATTATTTTATCGTTCTTTTCATTGCATATATTCTCTATAACTGGTAAATAGTTACCTTTAATTTTTGTCATTTTTTTCCAATTTCATTTTCATTTTATGTATTCTGAAACGAAACGTTGAATCTGTGAAAAATTGCATGAAAACAAATATGGAATGCAATCTTTTTCTCTTCTTTTAAAGAAGAAATTTCGACGAAAAAAAGAATTGGAACCAAAGTGACTAAACAAAAATCATTCTTTTATTCTCATTGATCACATTTCGCATTTTGAGAGTATCGAAGCCGAAAATTAATGAGTTCTGTCGATGGCACACTCATTTGCAGTAATTAAAAGAAAAATGAATTTGATTTGAAAATTTTTTGCCGATATCGATGTTCCATTAATAAAAAAAGAAATTATCTGTTATCTGTGACATCTGACAATTACTGAATTTCTATTTGGAACAGTTCGCTGAAACATTGTTGAGAATCAAATGTTTGAAAGTGAACGGATGCAAATTCATTTTGCCAATGCATTTAGACATTCTGACATTAAGGTTTAACTTTAACTTTTAATATTTTCAAGTTCCAAGCCATTTATCATCTTCGTTAACACCAAAATTTTCTTATTTCGCTTCTAATTTTACATAGTTTTAAATTATTTGCTAAATTTTAATTTGCAAGCAATCATGAATTAGTAATTACTAGAATTTTTTATCAAAGATTTCGTTTCTTTTTTACAGTTACTTTCTTATACAAAAATTTATCAATGGAAAATAAAAAAAGCCGAAACGTTAATTATATTTTAATTTGGAAGGGAAGTTAACTTCATAATGATTGAATTGATTTGCAACAATATTTGACTGCAGAAAAAATGTTCATATTCCAAAGTGACTGAAATTTCTTGTTTTTCTTAAATTTTCGATTTCATATTTAAACTTATATTATAGATAAATTTCATACTTTGATTTTTCCTTCGGTTTTAGGACTTGAAAAGTATTAAAGTAAAGGGAGATTGAAAACTTATGTCTAAAAATGACGAATGATAAGAACGGAATAATTGCTGATAATTTTTCGATGTCAATCAATAAGACCGGTTTGAATTATCACCTCAACATTTGATTCTCTTATTATTTCTGTAAGTTCGTTACCATCCCTTCAGTGGCCCTTATTCACTCTCCTATGCTTGTTTTTGCAAATGATAACTCTCATTATTATATTTACAGAGTTTAAATTAAATTTCAGTTAGGAAAAAGTTTTGCCAATGGTAAACAATCATGCTGGATACTTTAAATTCAATACTATAGTATCTTTTAAGTTATTTGTTCAATTTGAATAAATTAATTTATGTTATAACTTAGCATAAATAATTTCTTAAATAATTTGTTTTTTCCATCTGTTCTTGACATTTTTCCCGAATAAAAATATTGTTTATAGATCTTTAAATTATTATTTCATATAAGCGCTTTTTCACTAAACTACTGAAGAATATTATATGTCGAAGAAAATTCTTTCATTCCTTTTTCCCCTCTCTTTCTCTCTTTTTTCTCTTCCTCTCTCCATTTCACTTTTTTTCTCTTAAAATAAACCAATAATATTATTGAGAGATTCGTTTATTCATATTTTTCCTTAAATTAACTGTCTTTTCTTTTTGGCAATATTCTCCTGCCGCGACACACTTTAATTAAAATTAAAAAAATCACTTCAGAAAATAAAACAAATCAATATGGTATTTTCTAATTGATTTTGCTTTCTGTTCATATACTGTTCAATAAATTTAATTCTTTTTTCTTTATTCTTAAAAATTTCAAAGCACTGAAAAAACATTTTCTAATCAACATAAAATATTGGATAGATTTGTCTATTCAATACTTTTTCTCGTATTTTTATTTACATTTTGTGTTGTCCTCTTTATATATTAATAAGGTTCAAATGGTATATTATTAAATTCATATAAATTTATTAAATTTGAACAAAAATTTTACTAGTTATCATTTTTTTCATTATTACCAATATGAATAGTAAAGAAAAAATTAATAATAATCATTATTACTTGTTTTTCTTGATTAATCAATTGATTTAAAAATTATTATTCTTTCTTATTTCCCCAAGTATGCTAATAATTTAAAAAAGATTGATTTGATAGATGCAATAATTTCCTTTTGTCAATATTTTCCATGAATGTAATGAATATTTTGTTAAATATGACTCAAATTCATTAAATTCAAAAAGCTACTTTTTATTTATGAATTCCATATTGAATTGAAGTGTAATTTGCATCTTTTTCAAAAAATTAAAATTTGATAGTTTATTTCATTAGTTTTCTTTTTGGTATTTTTTGAATTTCAATTATGTGTTAAATCAAAAAAAGTTTGGATGGAATAATTTATTTCAGAACCATGTATGCACATATATTATGTACTTATTTTGATTTATTTTCTTATCGATAATAAAAAATTCCAATGTTTTTTTGTTTTAAAGACAAAAAAAGTGTTAAAATAATAGCCGCGTGAAAAATCGATATATGCTAAAAGTGTAAAGAACATGTATTTAGCATATCAATATTGATTGAAATTTGAATTGAAATTTTGAACAGTAAGTAAAAAATAATTACAAAATCTTCCGTTAAATAATTTTTTTTTGCTTTTGAATTGTTGAGGCAAATTGAAATGACCAATAACTTTGATTGAACATTGTGAAGATTTTTTCCTGTGACATGAAAATTTTACAATTTGGTGTAAAATTTTCGTGTTACAGGAAAAAATTAAATTTGACATTTTTTTTCAAAAGAATTTAAAAAACTTGTAAAAATTTACGATGTAGTTAAATACTTTTCATTCCAAATTTTCAATTCTAATTTTATTTTTACAATGAAAAATCTAATAGCAAGCGTAATCCATTATCATCTTGTATTCTCAGATAGCAATTTTGATTGGTTTGAACAAATGTATGATAAGTTTCTTTCATGTAAGTAATTTATTAAAATAGTAAAAAATGAACTATTGAAAATTGATGTATTTAAATCTCAATAAAAATTTATCTTATTCATCCCTCTGTTTTAAAATTATAAAGTGCAAAATGTTTTGGATATTAATTTCGAAATGTCCATAAAATTGCTTTATGGCTTAGTATAATTTTAAACTTCGAAAAAATTTAGCTATTTTTCTATGATCGACAAATTTAGAACTTTAAAATTCTAAAATTTATTTCCAAACAATTAATATTATTCCAGAAAAAGAATTATGTAAATTTTTAAATGATGATTTAATGAAAAAAGAATATCCGTCTTATCGTTCAACATTATCCTGCCGAAATGATTCAATAATACTTTAAATAAATAATATAATTACATATGTTTACTTATATACTTTAAACAGAATGACTACATAATATCGATCATCTTGAGAATTTACAAGTGAAATAAGCAAAAATGGAAATTTAAACTGCATAACACTAATAAAAATAATATTTTACAGGTTACAAGTAATAACCAGGCGGTAGTCGTGGTTTTGGACAATGATCACAACTGCCTTTTGTACCTTCTTCTCCACTTGGTCCTGGTGCGCCGGGCATTCCCGGCTTTCCATACAAACCTTTAAAAAATTATTCTTCCATTTTTTTCTTTTAATTTAAATGAAGTAAGGTTTCAAACAAGTAAGAAAGCAAACCTGCATTTCCTTCGTCACCTGGTGCACCTTTTTGACCTTTCTCACCAGGTTGTCCTTTTTCACCGGGTGGTCCCGGTACTCCTGGTGGTCCCATTTCACCAGGTCGACCCGGTAATCCAGGTGGTCCCATGCTCGGCATACGTTTTCCCATTTCTCCTTTATTTCCTTCTCGTCCTGAATCACTAATATATTTTAATGTTTAATTAACAATAACATAACACAGCGGCTCTTTTTTAATTGTATATTTCAAATTTTTTAACCCACATGCAAATGAAAATTTGATGATATTTTGTAGTTATTAATTAATTAATGCTATTTCTGTAATTTATAATATGATAAAAAAACTCCCAACATACCTATTATTCCCGATAGACCTTTTGGTCCCTGTTTTCCCGGTAATCCTTTTCCTCCAGGTTTCCCTGGAACACCCGGTTCGCCTGTTTCGCCTTCATAACCTCTGGGACCTTTGTCGCCAGGAAGTCCTGGTGGACCAGGAGGTCCTGGTGGACATTCTCTGATGCATGGTGTTATTACTGGAGCTAAATAATCTTGCTCCACATCTAAATATAAATATATCTGTATTTGTATGCATCGCTTTTTTAACACTATTTATTAAAGAAATAATAAAAAAACCTTCTCCAGGCATGCCATCAGCTCCTGGTTTACCATCGAGACCGTTTTGGCCATCAATACCAGGTTGACCAGGTGGTCCAGGTTCACCCAACTGGCAGCAACCTAACTTATAAACCATTCATGTTCACTGTGCACATTAGATTGTAACATTCAATATAATTTTTCAAGTTAACTAACTAGTCAAATTCATTAAATTGTGTGATTAGAAACCACCAAATTTAAAACATTCGAAATATCAACTGTTTCATTAAAATTTTTAAAAAATAAAAATTTCTTCGTGACATACACAATTTATGATCCGTATTTCGGTAAAATTTAAAAATAAATAAATAAATGAAATCGAATGAGTAAGAGAACAAATAAATTAAGAAACTGAAATTTAGTTGAGTTTTCTTAAAATATAATTTTTAGCAATCAAGAATTTTACCAATGCCAACTTTTCTCCAAATCAATTTTAAATTTCAACCAACATTTTCCTTTCATCTTCTTATCATTACGGCCGTCATGAAGTCCATCATAACGATCACCTACGGTGGATTTCTTAGATTCATCTCCATCATATCCATCGTTACCATATGGCTGCTGTCGCCTAATCTGATTTTGAAAATGATTTATAATTGAATTCGTATCATCGCTGCTAAAATTTAAATTCAAGTACTGTGAAATATTTATTTTAAGCATTATTTCAATGTATATATATGATAACATTAATATTATTTGTTTTCACCTAAATTTCAATTTAACTTCAATTTTTTTCTAAAGTCTTCAAAATCTTCAATTTAACTCTTTTTTGATAATTAATTAAATTCACCTATTTTTTCTATTAATAACTTTTGAGTGATCTGAAAATGTTTGAATAAATTTATTGAAAAATTAGCATTCACACCGGTTTTTATATCCAAAAGGCCATCCTTTACTACTGTTTCCCGATTTTGCGCTACGAATAAACCGAATCCCACTATCGTATTCTTTTTCATGTTGCACACTCCAAATTGTTGTCCATAAATCTCTATTACGACTCTGTAATTTAACACCAATAATGATGGCAGTGATAATAATGATGATAATAATAATAACAATAATGACATACCGTTTCTCAATAAAAAATGATAACAATAATAGCAATTTTAATGTTCATTAGTAAAACAAAATTCGCAAGAAAAAATTTTTTTTCTAACTTTTTTTAAATTTTGGTGAAAAAAATTACTACGTTAGTAATAAAAAAGATCATTATTTTATTTTTTTGAAAGAAATTAATAATTGTAAAGATCGGAAAGCTTACTTTACAAAATTCCATATCATTTATCATTGTACTTTGCACTTTTTGAACATATTGATAAGATATTGGCATAAGAATAATACAACTTAACATTGTCACAGTACTTAAAGTAACAGCAATAAATGCGACACGTCGAAAATGTTGCATATCAGCTTCAGTAAATGGATCCGGTGGATAGAGGTGTTGTTCTTCTTCGTCTCTCAGATTCATCGTTTTCTTCCCATCAGACTTTAAATTTGTTTTCAAAATCATCGCATTCAGTTCTTGAAATTAAAAGAAAATGTACTGAGGATTTTTTCTTAAGCAAATATTTTAAAAGTTAAAAATTTTTACAAATAATTTTTACTGATTTTAAAATATTACGAATATTGTCAAAGATTTTGTATTCAATACGAAAAAGGTATGGCTATGCTTTTTGTTGATTGCTTAGTTAAAATGTTCAAATAAAAAAATTATTTCGCTAGCAAAAAATTTTTTCTGTGATTTATAAAAAACATTTGTTAATTGTTATAAGTTTTGAGGAGGGGACAATAAAAAAAACCTGGAGAAAATGATTTTTTTTCACTTATTTAACAATAAATGCAACTAAACATTCATAGCTGGTAAGACAGAACTTTTATATTCAATAAAAAATGATGAAAATTAAAAGCGAAGTGGTAGTAGTAAGTGGTGATAAGTTAATCGTCAACTGCTATATTTTGTCTGGATACTGTAAGTGGTAATATCTTATCCTACCCTATCATAAGTAGTATAGCAGTCTAATCACACCATGATAACATATCGCAAATTTTTTTCTTTTTCACCTTTCAATAATTCTTCAATTCTTATAGCTTCCAATATTTACATTACGGTAAAGTAATGGAATGAAAAACCGGCACACCGGTGGATTGAAGAACTGTTGGATATGTGACATTCCTTCCTTAAATACTATACCAAATGGGAGGACAGGATGTGACAGACATTCTCCTTGACAGTTGTATTTGGGTTCCTTCGACCGTTATCTCATGTAAACATGAGGCGTCTTATCGATCAGAGATATCATCATACCTTACTGCACACTTTTTAAAACTTCCAATGGAGTGGAAAAAAAGAACAGAAAAGTGCACAGAATGACAGCTCATTCTATTAAAGTTACACATTTATGTTTTGTCATTTTGACCTGATTCAAACGAGAGAAACTAATGCAAATTTCATTTCAAATTAACTTATCGCTTATCACTCTTAATTAACTTTTAACCTTAACTATGAGAACATATCGTTTTTCATTCATGTTTCTCGCAGTTACTTCCATCGCCTATCATACGTTCATTTCAGTTATATTGAAGGTTTAATATTTTTTGGTTTTTAAATTGATAATTAACATTTATTAATTTATTATCTTGCTTTTTAATCCAGTAATCAGTAAATAATGTTAATTATGCATCATTAAGTTGTTGGATCTTAACTAAACCATATTGTTTTATATATTATTAGTTTACTAGCTTAATATTACTCGAACATTTAATTTAGTTGTCTACTAACTAATTTAAAATATGTTATTACTACATAATGGTCCTTTATAAACTTGTCTTAAGGTAATACAATAATAAATTTTTTCAATCTCTATTTGACTATTTTTGAATTATCAGTTATCATTTCAACTTGATCAACTTGAGCTATCGATGTATCATATGTTCATATCACATAGTATCGAAATACTTTGTTGATTGAAAAAAGTGCTGATGATGTCTGATGTTGAAAATTTTCAAATATTTGGACAAAATTCAAATTTCACACTAAAGTTGATTTTTCCTTATCATAGAGATGATAAAAGTAATTAGTTTTCAAAGACGGTTTATCTCATCTTGCTAACAAAATTGCATTTCAAAATTAATAATAAATGTATTGATTTCAAATTTAATAATAAATCCAGTGTCAAATTTCATTGATTCCTTTTTATTGTAAAACGAAAAAATGGATGTTGTATTGCTAAAACTAAAATAAGCCGGTATATAAGCTAGCTTTTGAAAAATGATATATCGAACAAATTTTTCGATCATATTTGAATTTAAAAATTATTTATTTACTTATAAGTGTGCTGAAGATCTTACATACTATAAGTAAATAAATAAATTATTAATTTTAAGTTTCTGTACAGATTTTGATTAATGTATATTTAATTAATTTATTTGCTCGTAATTTATTAGCGTGAATTGATTCATCTATTTACTGACAACTACGCTAAGAGTTTTCTTTCTTTTCGTTCAGAAAATGCTGCAAACTTTGAATTGATTCATTGTTTTTATTTTTTTCTAAAATAATCAACTCAAAATATAAAGAAATTGACGTTTCATTACAGTGATCAAAATCTCCGATTTATTTATTTCCATTTTTTATTCATTTCCTTCTCGAATATATTAAAGAATATATGTATACGTCAAGTGAATTTCTTTGTTTTAAGAAATTCATTTGACATACAATTTTGAGTTGAAATTTTAAGATTGTAATCTTTTATTTTGAATGCAAAAAGTTAGAATAAAATAAAAAAAAGTTTTTGGACTGTTGCCAAACTGAAAACAGGAACTGAAAAGACAACAAGAAAAGTATAATGTAATCAGTAGTAATTAAGAGGAACAGTGGAAGAATGAAGGCGAGAAGCAAATCATTTTAAATTGTTTGCAAGGAAATTAATATCGGAATTGATTACATCTCTTAATTTTAAAATGAATAAACAAAAATTTCACTTCATTTTGGTCCAAAATTTGATTTTTTATTAATTAAAATAAATGTTATTTTTTTGATATACGGCAAACTTCCCGTTTTATCCAATAGTAAACAATAGTTTTTTAATTCGTCAAAATTTTTGGGGAATTTATTTTTTAGGAAATTTTTGATTTCGTACAAAAAGATGACAATGAATTATGGTGATAATGAAGTGATAGTAATAAAAATCCTCAACTCTCAACAATATTGTGGTAATTTTTAGCGAAATATTTCGCGACGAAGTCGATAAATCTTATTTTTTTGCGAAGACTTCCATCTAGACTTCAATTTAAAATTGAAATTTCAAAAAAAAGATAAAAAAGACAGATGCCCTTATTTTGCTTTTTGCCGATTATTTTTAATCCTGGATATTTTTCGAAACAATAGGGGGTCATCATTGAGGAGCAATAGGTGACGAGGGAATTTCGCGGAAATCAAATTTTTTGATCAAAAAGGACCCCGCCTTCCCCGCCCATCCATTCCCGCTCCCTACTTCGTACCTTTGAGAATTGCTATGAACATAATTCATCATAAGTGACTTACCAGGATATGCTATTAAATTTTACGATTCAATTATTTTTTCCTTTCCTTCGATGTGATCATTCGATAAAAGAGGAATTGAGGTGAATGAAGAAGAAGGTGACGTTAAGGATTCGATATCACTTTTCAAGAAGTAATTTGAATGAAAAACGAGAAACTATACTTTTGCAAGGGGAACGAAAGGAAAAATAGAAGAGACAAAAATT